AGTGGTAAGGATAGACGCATGAATGGGATAGAAATCTTAATTGCCAATGGTGTTGTGGAGAATGTAGTGGCGGTCATTGAGAAAGGGGACAGGATTATGTTAATTAAATTAATTATTAGAGAGAATATAGTGAACGTTGTTAGTGCATACGCCCCTCCAGTAGGATTAGATAATCAGATAAAAAGGGATTTTGGGGAGCAAATGGATGCAATCTTACAGGAGATACCCGTAGGAGAGAACCTGGTTATAGGTGGAGATTTTAATAGCCATGTAGGCATAGATAAACTAGGCTATGAAAGGGTGCATGGTGGATACGGTTTTGGTGACAGAAATGAGGCTGGAGAGAGTATCTTAGATTTTGCGTTGGCTTATGACCTGGTGGTGGCCAATAGTAGCATTTGTAAACCTTTAAGAGTGAGTCAGTTAAGAGCCAAATAGATTACTCTTAGTGAGAAAAGTGGATTGCCTAAAATGCAATGATTGTAAGGTGATTCCTGGAGAGAGTCTGACCTCTCAACATAGGATTTTGGTACTAGATTTATATTTTAGAGGGCAATACCAGGAAGGATGGTGGGCATCGTAGGACGAGATGGTGGGACCTAAAAGGGGATAAATTAGAAATATTTAAGAATATAATGAATAAGGAAGGTACTTGGGACTTGGAAGATGATGCTAACACTATGTGGAACTCGATGACTAATTGTATGAGAAGAATCTCAAGTGAAGTGCTTGGAGAGTCGAAAGGAACAGGACCCAGCTCTAGGGAAACTTAGTGGTGGAGGGAAGAGGTTCAAGTGGTAGTTAAGGCAAAAAAAGAGTGCTTTAAAAAGTAGCAAAAGGATAAAACTGAGGAAAACCTTAAGAACTATAGATTGGCTAATAAGGAGGTCAAGAAAGTAGTGAGAGAGGCTAAGTTGAAAGCTTATGATGACTTATACACTAAACTAGATAGTAAGGAGGGAGAGAAGAGGGTATACAAACTTGCTAAGATACGGGAGAGGAAAACGAGATTTTAATCAAAGTTAAGTGAATCAAGAGTGAGGATTCTAAGGTATTAGTGAGAGATGAAGAGATTAAGGAAAGATGGAAGAACTATTTTGAGAAACTATTAAATGAGGAATATGGAGGTACGGCAATAGGGGAAGAAATAGTCAGTAATACGATAAACCAAGACTATAGTTTCTATTGTAGGATTAGGAACTTTGAAGTGGAGATTGCACTTAAGAAGATGAAATCAAATAAGGTTTTAGGACCAGATGATATCCCTATTGAAGCTTGGAAGTGTTTGGGTAAAAAAGGGGTTGCTTGGTTGACTAGGTTGTTTAGCAAAATTTTGTTGATTAGGAACATGCCAGATGAGTGGAGGAAGAGCATTTTAGTGCCAATCTATAAGAATAAAGGAGATGTCCAGAATTGCAACAACTATAGAGGAATCAAGCTAATGTGTCATATAATGAAAGTGTAGGAGAGGGTGATAGAACATCGATTGCGAGATATAATAGAGGTGTTAGAGAATTAATTTGGGCTATGCCTGGCAGGTCAACAATGTAAGCGATCTATCTTTTGAGGAGAGTAATCGAAAAGTATAGAAAAAAGAAAAGAAACATTCATATGGTGTTTATCGACCTTAAGAAAGCATATGATAGAGTGCATCGGGATATAATATGATGGGTGGTAGCGAAGAAAGGGATGACAAAAGGTTACATTGATGTGAATAGGGGCATGTATAAAGGGGTGGTGACTACTATTAGATCGCCTGTTGGAGAGACAAATAAATTTCCTATTACTGTAGGATTACACCAAGGATCTACCTTAAGTCCTTATCCTTTTGCTTTAGTTGTGGATGAGTTGATGAGAAATATTCAGGATTACGTGCCATGGTGTATGGTTTTTGCAAATGATATAGTGTTAGTTGATGAGACTAGAGAAGGAGTTAATACAAAGTTGGAGATTTGGAGAAAAGCTCTTGAATCTAAAGGATTCCGAATAAGCAGAACGAAGACAGAGTACATGGAGTGTAAGTTTAGTAACAGCAACAATGAAAGCAGAGGAGAAGTGAAAATTGAAAACCAAGAATTGCCTAATAGTGAACATTTTCGTTATTTAGGGTCGATTATCACAACAACGGGGGACATTGATGCGGATGTGACCCATAGGATTAAGGCGGGATAGTGTAAGTGGAAAAGTGCGTTTGGGGTACTGTGCGATAAACGAATACCCACTAGACTTAAAGGTAAGTTTTATAGAACGGTTATTAGACCAGCAATGTTGTATGGGACGGAGTGTTAGGCAACTAAGAAACAACATGTAGATAAGATGACTGTAGTTGAGATGAGAATGCTAAAGTGGATCTGTGGCAAGACTAGACAAGACAGAATTAGAAATGAGTGTATTCGAGAATGGGTAGGAGTAGCACCGATAGAAGATAAGTTGAGAGAGAATCGATTGAGATGGTTTGGTCATATTCAACGGAGACCAACAGAGGCAGTAGTGAAGAGATACGATACTATAACGGTAGATGGAAGTGTTAGGGGACGAGGTAAGGCCTAGATTAATATTGGTTAGCGTTGTAGATAGAGATATGGATTTACTTAATTTGACTAACGAAATGGCCTTTGATAGGACCGCATGAAGAAGAAGGATTCATGTAGCCGATCCCATTTGATGAGACTTAAGGTTTGGTTTGGTTTGGTTTGGTTTCCAAATCCCTTCTTAAATCCCCTAACTAAAAATAGATTTATCAACAAAAAAAAATCCCCAAACCAAAAACAGTATTAAAGAAGTTCCATGGACTATTTAAGTTTAGAAAACTTGAGGTGGGGAATTTCCTGCATTTGGTTGACCCAAAGCTAAGAACAAGATCGGAAGCACAACTTCTCATTCAAAGCATGAAAGTGGTTCGGTCACTTAGGTAGTGTTTGGTTCATTGGAATGAACCGGAATAGAATGATCATTCCATCAAAATATTCATTCCCACATTTTGTTAGATTAAAAATATAATGGCAAATGCATTACAAATGAAATTATCTTTCACTATGTGAAGGGAATGATCATTCCATAACAAAAGGTTGGGGGTTGCTCGAAATCTGTCAGATATGAGCCCTTCTTTCTCTATTCAATCCATGGCCTACCTCAATACATCTATGTCACAATGGCTGATCTTTTGAGTGAGGGAAGCTAGGGCATTTTGGTCGATGCAGGATCAGTTAGTGACTGTCTCTTCTAAATGGTGGTTTTTAAGTTTTGAGCAGTTATTTCAAGCACATAACGGTTGGAGAGTCCCCCACTACACCAGCTGCTCTTAATCTTGCTCGGCATGTTGCAGGTCGCCCTGGTGTGTTTCCTGAAGTAAGTTGCTTCTTCTTTTTCTTTTTTTTTTTTATAAGTAGTTAACTGATTTCTCTTCATTTGAAATGCATATTATCAGCTTAAATATTCTAATGACAATTGAGAACCATAGGGTTTGGTTTGTCATAATGCCGACAGTGAATGGTGTCATATCAAATATAATTATGATAAATGATAATAAATTGGAGGTGATGCAATATTGTTTGCATTGGTGACATTTTATTTATAATTTTCAATACCTTTGTATAATGTGCTTGGCTCACTTTATGCGAGATGATCCTTTGTGATATGAGAAATTGTTCTTATTTTTTTTTCTCTTTTTCTTGGCACAATAATTTTCAGAACAATATCATGAGGGATTACACACATCATTTTGACCTTTGGTAGAATGCATTAGATGGGCATTCTTTATGGAGGAACGATATTTTATGGTTTTTAAATGTAACAAAAAACCATTGATTCATCTCATCTGATCACACAAATTTCTTTCATAAATGTGTGATTTGGATCCAAATTTCCTTTGATACATCTCATCTGATCACACAAAAATTTAGAAGCACTTCATTTTGTTCACTGATGAGTGAAAAATTGTATGTGTCTTGCTTTTAATATTTTTTGTTCTTCTTTGTTAATATTCATGCCATATTTATCTAAATTCTTGATATGCATGCCATCTCTGTCTCTGTCTCTCTCTCTCTCTCTCTCTCTCTCTCCTTTTTGTTATTGCTGATTATTTATTTTGTTACTTAACTAGATATTGAAAACCCTCTTTGAGATTGTCCTATTTGAGGACTGTGGCAACCAGTGGAGCCTTAGCAGACCAATGTTGAGCTTGATACTTATAAGTGAAGAGGTAATAGTTGAAACTGCAAATTTTGAATTCCGTTCTTGTTTTGTAGTCTTCCTGTTTCGCAGTTCTTTTGTATGGCAAGTACAAACTAAACAGTAGTCTTAAAAGGGGTTGGAATCTAAATTGTGGGATTTGTCAAACAACCAACCATCATGTGTTGCATAAAACAAATAAATCAAGAGAAATGAGATATACCTTGAGAAATTAATTTCCATGGAACTCAAGAATTTTTCCAATTAACCACTAGAGAATCTAATTGCCAACCATTGTTCTGAACAACATAAATTATGCTTAATTTGGCAAAGCAGTGAAAAAAACAACTTTTATAATTGGCTTTTGTCATCTTTAGTGGACTGTTAAAATTTTAATTTATATTTTTAAAATTCCAGGGACTTTTACTCTAAAATCTCTTAAAATCCAAAAAAAATTGAAAAAGTCTACTAAAGACAAAAAAGTTTACTAAAAATTGAAAAATTGAGTCTTTGATTAATCGAGTTGACTTGTCGGAATCAGAGGCCGAGGCGTCTTTGGATTTTCTTTTGCATGAAGCTAATGAGGCGTTGATCAGTGCCTTTCTTGTTCTGTTGAGAGCAAAAGGAGAAACTTATGAAGAAGTATGCTCTCTCTCTCTCTCTATATGTATATATATACACACACACACACTTTCTATACTACTATATGAAGCACACAACTCAGCTAGTGTCACTCATTTTCTGATATACCCAAATTGCTTGTATGTAACTGTTCAAGTTTCTTATTTAAATCACGCATAACTTTAGAACAGTTTCTTGTTGACATATAGCAAACTAGAAAGGGGTGACCGGATTGAGCTTCTTGTTGACAAAACAGCAACAATGCAAGACAGTGCTTTTCATTTTAAGAAACAGTCTAGGCGCCTCAGCCGTGCTCTTTGGATGAAAAATGTCAAGCTGTTGTTAGTACTGGTCCCTTGCTATTAAGTTAGACCTTTTTTTTCCCTAAACAGTGTTACATGGCCAAATTAGACATTTGGATTCTTTAATCTTTTTCTAATGTTTGATGAAGAAAAACACCACCTTTGATAGTAAAGAAATTTTTCTAGCTTCTTGCATGGATTTGAGATAGAAATCCTTCCATTTAATTTCAAGTAAATTCCTACGTAATGACAACATATTATGCCATAATGTTGCACACTATTGACTATACAATATATTTAAATGTTCAAGATGTGTCCACATACTCATACCAAAGTTTTGGATATATGCATATATATTCTTTTATCCTAACATGCAATAGGTTTTTGGGAGGTTCAACACTTAGGCACACACCCTGGTCTGATACTCATACCAGAATTAAACAAAATATGTAATGAAGTGGATAATCATCTTAAGCCCAACGAAAATAAAAAGGGAAAACAAAGAGGCCAATCATTGTGAAAGTAGAGAAGGCACTATGATGGGCATGGGAGAAGGCACCCTGCTCTGACATGTCCTTGGGTTTTTCTTATTTCATGCACATAAACTTGTGTTTTTGTCTTATGACAGGGCCTTGTCGACATGCTTGATTGTTGTGCTTCTGTACATAATAATTGCTGCTTCTTGTGGAGGAATCACTCTACCATCCTGCAGATCATAATGTCCAGCTTTGTAACTTTCAATTTCTGCTGAGTACATATGCACATGATTTCAGAAATGACGCGCGTCACATTACACTTGAAGAGTGCCTTAGCTGTTTCATGGTTCAGATTTCCAAGGAGTGTTTGGAACTATATTCTCTCTCAAAGGTAGCGCAAATTATTCCGTTGATTCTTGCATTTTGTTTCATTCGATGTGTGCTTATCGCGGGGAGCTTGATGAATAGTTATGATATTATTGCTGATCATCTCTGTATTTTGTAGGAACTATGGTTTTCTTCTTTGTATTTTATTGGTTATTGTCAATGCTCCGATTATGCTTTTTGTAATTTCACATCATAAGTTTCTAGATATAAGAGCCTAGTGAGTACAACAAATTTCATTTCAATTTGTTGTCAATTCAAAATCTGTTCCATTTGTGACCAACTATCATGCATAGTCAGATGTGCCAGTGCTCATGAAACCTTCCACTGATTAAATAATTTGATATACCCTTTTTATTTATTTGTTGCTTATCCTTTCTAGTTAAATAATTTGATCCATAATAGTATCACAAAATCCCTAATGTTATGAGTTTATAATCTACATGCCACTGATTATTTCCAAACAGTGAATCAAATTTTATTTTATTCTTTTGAATTTTTGAATCAATTTGGGTGGAGATTGTGTTGGCTAATTCAAATTTGATTCCAATGCAGCAAACTAGAGCTAATGCATTACTGTCAATCTTTTCTTTCTTTTTTTTGGTAGGTAGGTAGCAGTACTGTCAATCTGTTCTTTAGCAAGGAAAATAATGAAAAGAAAAAGCCTTGCTGCTTTAGTTATCCTGAAGGTAAGACCGTAATTAGTGTTTTTTGGGACCAAAAAGATCTAGCTTTATAGACTTTGATGAATCACCACCCTTTTGATCTGAGTGGCACTTGGCTGGTTGTCAACCTTGATGTCAGGATATGCTAAATCCATTTTCTTACTAACTGCTAAAATAATAATATCAAACCAAATCAAACTAAGTAGGGTCGACTAACTGTTAGGATAATAATGATGAAGGAAAAAGTAACGACTTGGATTTAGATTTGATGGATGAAGAAATTAAGGTTGGGTTATGATTTATGGACTTGAAATGAAGGAATTTGACACTATTTATTCAAGGAGAATAACTCAAATTTATATTTGGCAGTTTAGTTATGGATTTAATAATTGAATTTTGAGAACTTTGTAAAAGTAGTAAACAATGTTAAATTTGATAGTTTAGTTGTGGATAGGGGTGAACATGGTACGGATTGGTCCGGATTGGAGTAAAATCAAGACCAATCTGTTATTTACTGTTCCTGAAAAATTGGAATCAATCCAATCCGTTTAAATTGTAGAATCAATCCGAACCAATCCGTTTAAATATAGATCGGATCGGTTTAGGACCACGGATTCACATAATTAAATAACAAAATATATAGAGAACATTTTAATTTCTAAAAAATATAAACATATAGTATCAAACACAACAAACAAAAGCAATAAACCTGAATACACACTACACAAAGCAGAGTTCTCCTAAAACTGGATACACATTACACAAAGTAGAGTTCTTTGTATTAAAATTAAACATAGTATCAAACAAAAGTAATAAGAAAACAAGTTTTAGACAAACAAAAGTAACAAAACTCCATAAACAAAAGCAACAAACAAATAAAAGCATAGCAGCAACAGCAACAAACAAAAGCACAACAGCAGCAGTAGTAGCAAATTTCACATCACAGCAAGCCAAATCACTTTTCAACAACAATGTTGACATTGGTTAGAGCTGCAAAAAAAATAATTTCAGTTTAAAGTAAAACATAACACAATACATGAATGTAATTTAAATGATAAATTGAATATTGAAATTCTATTACCTCTTTCTGTATCCTCCAAATCTGCAAAGTTTTCTTCCATCTCAAGTGGCAATGGCGAAGCGCGCAACCAATCTTGTGTACAAATTAAACTTTCAACAAGCTTTGGAGTAAGAGGACTACGAAATTGATCAAGGATACGACCTCCTGTGCTGAAAGTAGACTCGGAAGCAACAGTAGAGACATGAATGGCCAAAATATCCCTTGCAACTGGAGAAAGAACTTTATATCTTGAAGAATTTGTCTTCCACCAACTTAAGATGTCAAAGTTTGTAACTTTTTTTTCACAAGATTCTTCCAAATACCTATACACTTCTGACTTGCCTCCATCACCTTCTTCTTCCTCCAAAAGCTTTTGAAATTTTGTCATAAGAGACACTTAGTGCTCACTTGCACCAATGTTTATCTGATCAACAATGTCTACCTCATGAACTATTTCATTGGAAGATGAAGCAACTGTCTCAAACTGTTTATACTCATCAAAAATGTTATTCAAAGTCTCTCTTACTTTTTGATTGAGCTCACTCACCATGGCAAGTTGATAAACTTCAAAATTACAAAACCTCACATACTTCAACTTATAACGAGGATCTAACACAACAGCAATCAATAACATCATATTCATTTTTTCCTCAATACTTGTCAAATTTAGTCTTCATTTTTATTGCCATGGCTTTTAAAGAATGATCTAAACTCTTTTCCCATTCAGTTGAGGCACTTTCTATAGCACAAACTTCATTGAAGTACAAGTTGGAAGTGACATACAAAGAACCAGATAAGCGAACAGTTGCATCATAAAATTTTTGCAAAAATTGTGTAAAAACACGAGCATCTTCCCAATCTTGAGTAATGGGAGATCCATGATTAAGTTATAGTTTGAAATGTGAGTCCTCATCCTCTAATCTCTCAAATATTTTTTGAAACTTTGTTGCAACATCTAGCATTAGATATGTGGAATTCCACATAGTTTGAACATCTAGATACAATAAGCTTTTACATGTTACCCTCTTTGTTTCAGCACATGTCCTGCAAAATTACTCTTGTTGTGGAGAACTCCTTACATACTTCACCGCATCGTGAATTCGAGTTATTGAATCTTTTATTTCACTTAACCCATCCTTCACAATTAAATTAATTATATGGGCACAACACCTCATATGCAAATACTCACCCCTTAAAATCAAAGAGTCACTGTTTTTAGAAAACTTTCTTTTCACATATGCAATAGCTACATCATTTGCACTTGCATTATCCACATTGATTGTACATAGTTTCTCTGCACCCCCAATCAACCAAACATGATTCCACGGCCTTATTAATTGCCTTCCCTTTGTGACTAGAAATCACGCTAAAGTTGAGAATTCTTTTTTGCCAATTCTAGTCTTTATCAATAAAGTGGGCTATTAGGCACATGTATGAAACATTTTGTAGAGATGTCCATGAACCCGCAGTGAGACAAAGTCTATAGTTTGATTTCTTCAACAAATTTTTTAGTTTTTTCTTCTTACTAGAATATAAATCCACAATATCCCTTGCCACTGTAAAGCGTGAAAACTTCTTGAAATTAGGTCGCATCACACTACAAAATTGATGGCATCCTTCACGCTCTACAAACCTAAGTGGTAACTCATCAGTGATTACCATTTTAACAAGTAAATCCCTACATGCTTGTTGATCAAATTTCCAAACACCAAAAATTTTTTCACCTTCTATTATAGATTGAAAAGCCAAAGTCTTTTGTTTTTTTTATTTCTTTATTGTGAGGGGACTGAGGACAGTTTGCAATATGTTTTCTCAAAGTGCTAGTTCCATTTGCGCTAATCCAAGCATAAGAAGCTTTACAATGGTTATATTTAACACATGCAGCAGTCTTACTCCCTTCTTTAAAAACTTTGGTAAAATGTTCCCAAACTTTAGAATATTGTTGAGCTTGTGGCTTAGGAGGACGGGGGCATACCTTTGAACTAGAAGGAGTTTCAGGCTGAGGATCATGCTCTGGCTCAGACTGAGACTGAAAGAGGTCGATGACATCATTTGTCTCTCCAGTACTTGACATCTATCAAACAAGAAAAAGAAATACATCCAAAAAAAAAATACGATTAATGTTATTAGATAAAATAAAAAATAAAAACAGAAATCAAAAACCAAAGAAAGAGATCAAGACTTTTTACTTACATTTTACCGAATCCATTGAAGAAAAGGTCAACAAAGATGAAATGGACAATCAATTTGAGAGTGTATACTTCACTGAATATCTCCGATCTAAGATTAAATCCACTAATTTGGCATGAAATCTACAAAAAAAATAACAAAGTGTTAGAGAGAGAGAGAGAGAGAGCTTACTGAGTCTGAGATGAAATCCACAAATAGAGAGAGAGAGAGAGAGAGAGAGAGAGAGCTTACTGAGTCTAAGAAGAAACCAAAAAAATAAATAAATAGAATGTCACTGAGAGAAAGAGAGAGAGAAAGATCACCGAGAGATAAAGAAAGAGACCAAGCCACGATCTAAGCTCGCAGATCTGATCTGAGATGGATTATTTGAGATGAAATCACAAGAATAGAGAGAGAACTCAGTCTGAGAAAGAGAAGAGAGAAAAAGAGCTGATTGCGTTTGAGAGTATGAACAAACCGACAAAAATAGTGACCGAGAGAGAGAGAGAGAGAGAGAGAGCTCATCAAGAGGGAGACAAGCCGTGATCTGAGCTCACTGATCTGATCTGAGATGGATTATCTGAGATAAAATCATAAGAATACAGAGAGAACTCAGTCTGAAAAAGAGAAGAGAAAGAGAGTACCGAAAGAAAGATAAGAGTGTGAGAAACAGTGAGTGGCGTGTGATATGTTGAATTAGGGTTTAGCTTTTATATGAAACAAGAAATGATATTATGTGAGAGGGTATATATTATAAGTATAGACTATTTGTATACGGTTCGGATCGGTTCCAATCCGAAACCGATCTATGGCCTACAGATTTTTAAATTTTCAATCCGGAACTAAATCACGGATTCAAAAAATCAATCCAAACTTACCGAATTGGATTGGACCAGATTGAATTACGGATTATACGGATTCTTTACTCAGCCCTAGGTGTGGAATTGAAATAACAAGGTAAAAGTAATTATATGAAACGATTTGACACTATTTATTCAAGGATAATAATTCAAGTTTTGATTTGATAGTTTAATTTTAGATTTAAATATTAAATTTGAGAGCTTTGTCAAGATGAATTGAAAATAACAATATAAAAGTGGCTGTAATCTTAATAAAATATTTTCCCCTCTATCTATAATTTACTTCCCCCTTAGTTTTCAATCAAATCATAATATAGTTTAATCTGTCATATTTTTATAAAAATTTAATCTCAAATTCACTCTTTTTGAAATTTATCCCTTCAAATGGAGCTAAAAATACTTTGTTGGATGATTAAATTGAAAAAATGGAAATTATTGAAGAAAAAGGGAAAATGAGGTTGCATGTTTGGTAGCTTCCAAGGTCTCTCTTTTCAAATAGTGTCAAACCAAAGTATAGTCCCAAATTTCTGTCTCTCTCATAAATGGAGAGAGAGAGTAGAAGTGGAAGCAATGCCTCGCCGCCCCAAAAAAATATTCAGTGGATGCGTATGTTGTTGATAAAAGAGATGCAAGCACTTGGGGCCCACATGCCTAACTCAAATAATTTAAGGGCCAGGTTTCTCTAACCTTCTCTCATGTTCCAGATCGGATTGGAATATATTGTTAGGTCTGTGGATCCCCATTACAGTTTTGTTTCAATAATTCAAATCGTGCAATGTGTAGAGGTCATCGAGTATTTTATCATTGTGAAAAATCACGTTGATCGGATATCGATAGTTAATTGATCCGCCAGATTTCTATCAACGGTAAATATAATTTTCAAAATAAATTGTTAAAAAAATCTGATCCGATCAAATAGTTATCGATATTCGTTCAACGTGATTTTTTACAAAAATAAAGTATTCGACGAACCCTATACATTAACAGTTCGAATTATCAAAAAAAGACCCGTAGTGAGTCTCATAAACTCAACAACACTATTTGATTCACAAAATAAATTGAAAATTAGTCTGACTCATAATTTAAAATATAGTTAATTTCTTTCCATTGCTTCTCATCAGCATCATTGTGCTTGTTTGGGGCATATTTGTAGTTCCTTGGGATTGGTAAATTGGCATCTAGTGACTATGGTGTAACGATAACATGGGATAGGCCAATCTTGATCTGGGATAGTCCTTCCATTCGATTATATTATCTCAATTCGAATAATTCAATTTAATTATGAAAAATTCGATAAAACATTTTCCGAAATTGAATGTAGTTTATTTGGCTATGCGATTCGAAAATTTGATGCGATTCGATTCATCATAATACTCTATAGTTTTATTTAAATTTCACTTTCTTTTTATTATTGTTAGTATTATTATTATTATTATATTTTTATCATTGTTGTCCATTAGTTTTTTTTTTTTTTTGGTGAATAAAAAATTTTGGGTGAATAATTGTCCATTAATTTTAAAATATAATATACAAATTAACATATAAAAATTTGATCAAATTGATAATTTTGATATGACAATAATCATAATCGGACTTTGAATTGGATCATATATTTATTAATGGATCAAGTTATTCAAATTGGATGCGGATTCAATTTGATCCATTGACAGGTTTAACATGGGTTAGTGAGGTATTGGTGGAGGGCTCCTACCACCATCTTGGACAGAAGTTATTTGATGCTCCTCGGATAATGTTTACTCTAATCTAAACACCCTTTCTGTTCTGTTCTTTTCTTTTCTTTTCTTTGTTTTTTAAATTTTAAAATGATTAATTTATCTTTTAATGTTTATAGGGATGATTATTTTTTGTAATCAATTTTACGTCTGTAATATTGTTATTGCGAGTACCTTTACATAGGATGGGACTAGTGGGGTGTTCTTGGTGGGACCCCAACCCCCATCATCTAGAGACAATTAGTTCACCTTGGACGGTCACTAGACCCACCAGCCTATCTTTTCATGTACCCACCTACAAGCCAGCAACTCAAACAAACTGGTCAGTTTGTCTCTTCGATGAATAAAATAATAGGATCCACGATGCTATGCTATTCTTTTTTAAATTTAGATTGGAACTATGCTACCTTTTTATTTTAGTTTATTTTTGAGATTTTTTTTGGTGAACATGTATCTCTTTCCTGTTAGGCCATTTTAAATTTGCACCAAAACAGGTTGGATGAAGAGAGCATCCTTTCCTTGCTACTGCATTTTGATTCCTCTCTGTCTCTATCTCCCAAATATTTCCTCCATTTACAACCCCTATCTCTCTCTCTCTCTCTCTCTCTCTCTCCCTCTCTCTCCATCCCAACAATCCCCACCCCATCTGATTCTCTCTTTATGGGAACTCTTCTTAGGCTGCCTTCACCTCCTATTCTCATCACTTCCCAAAGGTCTAATTCATCATTTACACTTCTCCATCCAAATACCAAAACTCTACCAAGAAAATTTCATCACAGAATCCATTGTGGCAAGCATGGTAACTTCCTAGACTTGAAACCCATATCAAAACCGGAATCTCTGGACTTTGATCTCTCATGGGTTGATCCCTCTACTCGCTCTCGCTTTGACGTGATCATCATCGGAACTGGTCCTGCCGGACTTTGCCTTGCAGAGCAGGTGGCCTGCCACGGAATTAAGGTATGTTGTGTTGATCCTTTGCCGCTTTCTATGTGGCCTAACAATTATGGTGTGTGGGTTGATGAGTTTGAGAGCTCAGGACTTGAAGATTGTCTTGACAAGACTTGGCCTATGGCTTGTGTCCATATCAATGATCACAGGACAAAGTATTTGGACCGGGCCTACGGTAAGCAGGAAAGAACTGAAAATGAAGTTGTTGGAGGGTTGTGTGTCAAATAATGTGAAATTTCACCAGGCCAAGGTTTGGAAAGCAGAGCACAAAGAGTTTGAGTCCTCGGTTGTTTGCAGTGATGGGAATGAGCTAAAGGCGAGTTTGATTGTTGATGCTAGCGGATTTGCTAGCACTTTCATAGAATATGACAAGCCAAGAAACCATGGTTATCAGATTGCTCATGGGATTCTAGCTGAAGTGGATTGTCACCCTTTTGATTTGGACAAGATGTTATTAATGGATTGGAGAGACTCTCATCTGGGTAATGAACCGGATATACGTGCTAGGAACTCAACATTGCCAACTTTCTTGTATGCCATGCCATTTGATTCAAACTTGGTATTCTTGGAAGAAACTTCACTTGTTAGCAGGCCCGTGTTGTCGTACATGGAGGTGAAAAAGAGGATGGTAGCGAGGTTGAGGCACTTGGGCATCAAAGTAAAGAGCGTGATTGAAGAAGAGAAGTGTTTGATCCCCATGGGAGGGCCTTTGCCCCGGATCCCTCAGAGCGTGATGGGGATCGGAGGCACAGCAGGGATCGTCCACCCATCAACCGGGTACATGGTGGCTCGAACCCTGGCTTTGGCCCCGGTCCTAGCTGATGTCATCGCAGAGTGCCTCGGCTCAACAAGAATGATCAGAGGGAAGCCACTTTGTCATAGGGTGTGGAATGGGTTGTGGCCTTTTGAGAAGAGGTGTGTGCGGGAATACTACTCTTTTGGGATGGAGACTTTGTTGAAGCTTGATTTGAATGGGACTAGGAGGTTCTTTGATGCTTTTTTTGATTTGGATCCTCACTATTGGCATGGATTTCTCTCTTCAAGATTGTCTCTTGGTGAGCTTGCTATGCTGAGTTTGTCTCTGTTTGGACGTGCCTCTAACCCATCCAGGTTTGATATTGTTACAAAATGTCCTGCTCCTTTGGTTAAAATGATGGGTAATTTAGCACTTGAGACCATTTAATTTTGGAAGGTCTCACAACATGTTTTTTGAATATGTGGTTGTACAATCTGAAAAGAAAAATATTGGCTTACTTTGGAAATTTGCTCTAGTCTCTAAGATTAAGGGGAATTACAAATAGGTGGGAAATTGGGCAAATATTTACAAATTCATGGATGTACAAGTCACGCGTAAGTGAGAGTTGTGTTTCACATGCACCAAGTATAGAACACAATTTTCACTTATAGTGATACAAGCCTACTTGTACACTTTCATGAATTTGTAATTATTTTTTATATTCCCGACTAGTTTATTGTATGTTGGTGTTGATTGCAGGGATTGTTCTGGTTTAATATAGACTTTTATTTTTGTTTTTTATTTTTTATGAGCACTGGTTTAATACAGACTAGAAGGCCAAGCTTAAAAATTTCTTCATTCCAGTGGTCACTTTTGTAATCCTAATAATAACCTATGATCATGTTTGATTCACAAGATTAATAGTGAAGTATTAATAATCCTATTAAATTAGTGTGGTAATTGGATTAATATCCATTAGATTAATAATCCCACCCCTACCCCATTACTAATAATCCTATAAATTTGTTGGATTAATTATCCATTGGATTAATAATCCTAAACCAAAATATTAAAACAAACATAGGATAATTAGGCCCACGAATTAATAATTCCAATCCCATACTCTAATCCACCCAATCAAACATGCCATATAGGTTATAATTGTTTACGAAAATGCTACTATTCACGTTTCTAATGTAAGAAAGTTATAAGTTTTTCTATGAAAGTTGAGAATAGTAATTTTTTATTTTTTTATAAAAAAATTGAACAAATTACACTTTTTATAGTCCTCATACTTTAGCTTTTGTTTCATTTTGGCCCATGCAATTTCAATTGGCTCGATTTTTATTCTGAATTTATAATTTTGTCTCAATTTGATTCAATTGATTACAATTTTTAATGTGTATTGATAGAAAATGTGTACATAAGCAACACATATCATATTTTTATAGTAAAATTATAAACTTATTCAACTTAGTAAGTTAATTTTAACAAATCCAGTGATCTTTTTTCTTCAAAAATCTTAATTGACATTATTAATTAGATCAAATTGATACAAAATCTAAAATTAAGGATCAAAATTGAACTAATTTAAACGATAGAGATCAAAATAATACAAGAGGCAATGCAAGAACTATTAATGTAATTTGCCCTTAAAATTTGTATGTGGTTATGTTATAAACAGTGTGAAATGTTATGAATTATTTGTAATAAAAAATATTACGAACCATTTTAGTAAAAAAAATTACAACGAGTTACTATATTGATTATTGTATCAAATGATTAGTCAGTTTCAAATGGGGAGACTATACAGAAATTGTTCCACCTTCTTTCAATCAGTTAGTATCAATTGATGTAATAATAATTTGCATAATGGAAGGTTGATATTACAACTTATAGGAAGGAGAACTGAACTCTCTTCAATCAATGACTAAATTTGATAATAAATTTTGGATACCATTGTAATGTTTTCATCAATGCATTAATTTAAGATATAAAAATTGGGACATAAGAATTAAACTAACGTATTGATGACACATTAAAAGATGTTCAAAAATTGATATACAATTTGATAATCTAAATGGGAATAGAAGGATTTGTTTTTCCTTTTGTTTTTTTTTTTTTTTTAAAGATTTGGATCCACATCATTGGAGCGGATTTGTCTCCTTGAGATACTCTGTTTGGACTCACATCATTGTCATATCATTCTGGCAAAAGTTTATGTACAAAAAATTCTGTAAGAACAATTTTTTTGCCTTGCAAATATGATTAGTTAACTAATGCATACTTCATTTTTATTCAAAAGTCATAACTAGAATAATATGGCAATCCTTTCCTTCATTTTATTTTTTTATTAAAAAGAAATTGGCCCAAGTAGATTAATTTTTGTTTTTGTTTTTGTTTTTTACTTGAAAATGAGAGGATCTCAATGAGCTATACAAATTTTGTAGGGTTGTGCAAAAATCTGAATAGCCTACTTATCTGACCTGACCGGCCTGACTTGTTCATGGTATGGGCAATTTCGCCCAGCTTCATGGTTGGCCATGGTTAGAAGTCTCTACTTTTTTCGATTTTCTATCAAAAATCAGATTTAATTAAAAAAATCAATGACGACCGAAATATTACCTCATATATAGGTCTCTTTTGACTTTTAATCTATTTTGAGTCATATCATATTTTAACCTTTTTACATATTATTCAAAAAAAATCAAAAAATTAACTTTTACTAATTTCTCAAAATAAGGTTTAATTATTATGGAATTTACTTGCTTAGAAAAACCAAACAGCAGCAAACCATCATTACTTTTTGTTTCTAAAAACTTATAACTGTGTTTAGTTTGCTTTGAAATCATGATTTTAAATGCAAAATTTTCAAATTACTTTTCAAAATTCATAACTAAACACACAATTCAAAATTACTCAAAATTCAATTTAAAAATTAATTTCAAAACTCATAACTAAACACAACTCAAATCTCAATTCAATTTTTTTTTTCAAAAACTCAAAACTAAACTCTTTTCAAAACTCTATTTTAAAGGAAAAAATTCAAAATATATATATATATATATATATATATTTTAAAAAATTATTTTTAGAATCATGATTTGAGTATGGAGTCGCATTTCGAGTTATGAGTTTTGAAAAAAAAAAATTTTGTTTAGTTATAAATTTTGAAATTTTTTGAATTTATTTTTTTAGGATGAATATTTTATATTTTAAATTATCATGATCCAAACCCGCCCCTATAGGTTTAGCGTCGTAACCGGCCAGTAATCCTTAGATTACCAAAGGCCTCTTAACAGAATAACATATAATTAGGGGCTGCAGAAGCAAATAGCAATTATACAACATCCATTAAGTTGTGCAGACTTATATGAGACAGAAAAATTTTAAACTTTATATACATACATTTACACATCATCATATACAGATAGAGACTAGATAGAAAGGGACTTGGCACTAAATACAAAATAAACAAAAACAAGAAAACAAAACTTGAACTTTGACATATCCGGAACCTCCACGGGGGGCACATAGGTTGGCTTACTCCCACATACTCGATGAATAAAATAATTAGGATCACGATTTGCTATGCTATTTTGTTTTAAATTTAGATTGGAACTATGCTACTTTTTATTTTTAGTTTATTTTTCGAGATTTTTTTGGTGAAACATGTATCCTCTTTTCCTGTTAGGCCATTTTAAATTTTGCACCAAAACAGGGTTGGTATGAGAGGAGCATCCTTTCCTTGCTACTTGCATTTTGATTCCTCCTCTGGTACCTCTATCTCCCAAATATTTCCTCCATTTGACACCCCTATTCTTTCTCTCTCTCTCTCTCTTCTCTCCCTCTTCTCATCCCAAAACCAATCCCCACCCCATCTGATTTCTCCTTTAATGTGGAACTCTTCTTTAGGCTGCCTTCACCTTCCTATTCTCATCAACTTCCCAAAAAAGGGGTCTTTAATTTTTTTTCATTTCTTTTTACCACTTTTTTCCTTCCATCCCCAAAAAATACCAAAACTCTACAAGAAAATTTCATCAACAGAATCCATTGTGGCAAGCATGGTAAACTTCTCTAGGACTTTGAAAAACCATATCAAAACCCGAATTCTCTGGACTTTTGATCTCTCATGGGTTGATTCCCTCTACTCGCTCTTCGCTTTGACGTGATTCATCATCGGAACTGGTTCCTGCGGACTTTGCCTTGCAGAGCAGGGTGGGCCTTGCCACCGGGAATTAAGGTATGTTTGTGTTGATCCTTTGCCGCTTTCTATGGCACTAACAATTTATGGTGTGTGGGTTGATTGAGTTTGAGAGCAGGACTTGAAGATTGTCTGACAAGGATTGGCCTATGGCTTGTGCCATATCAATGATACAGGACAAAGTATTTGGACCGGGCCTACGGTAGGGTCAGCAGGAAAGAACTGAAAATGAAGTGTGGAGGGTTGTGTGTTCAAATAATGTGGAAATGTTCAACCAGCCAAGCGTTTGGAAAGCAGAGCACAAAAAGTTTGAGTCCTCGTTTGTTTGCAAGTGATGGGAAGAGCTAAAGGCGGAGTTTGATTGTTTGATGCATAGCGGATTTGCTAGCACTTTTCATAGGAATATGTGACAAGCCAAAAACCATGGTTATTCAGATTGCTCATGGGATTCTAGCTGTTTTTTTTTTTCAAGTGGATTGTCACCCTTTGATTTGGACAAGATGTTATTAATGGATTTGGAGGAGACGTCTCATCTGGGTAATGAACCGGATATACGTGCTAGGAACTCAACATTGCCAACTTTCTTGTATTGCCATGCCATTTGAATTCAAACTTGGTTTCTTGGAAGAAACTTCACTTGTTAGCAGGCCCGTGTTTGTCGTACATGGAGGTGAAAAAGAGGATGGTAGCGAGGTTGAGGCACCTTGGGCATCAAAGTAAAGAGCGTGATTGAAGAAGAGAAGTGTGTTTGATCCCCAGGGAGGGCCTTTGCCCCGGATCCCTCAGAGCGTTGATGGGGATCGGAGGCACAGCAGGGATCGGTCCACCCATCAACCGGGTACATGGGTGGCTCGAACCCTGGCTTTGGCCCCGGGTCCTAGCTGATGTTCA